TTAGATATACGTGTCTAAAAGACATCTTTCAGACGTGTGCTATCCGGGTTGATAAAATATAGTTGAGAATATGGGCCTATGTCTTGAGAGAGATCAGTCTTGACCATCATGGCACTAAAAGAGTCATTAACATCGAGACTACTTGAGTGCCAGTCGGCATATCAAGTGGAAGATTATGTAACCTTGAAATATAAGAATCTAAGAAGCTGACAATAAACTAACTGCTAAAAGAAGTCGAGTCAGAAATTGAGTCAGAAATAAAAGAAACTGTACAAAGGATAATAAACTAATAAATTTCAGAACGCTGTTAGATTATCATGTATGTACGTTATAGTTTGTATACATATATGAATTGTGGGAAAATTTCTGCTTTGTTATGACCTCGGTTATAACCTTATGACAGTTAAATTTAATATAATAACGTTATAAATAATATATGTATATAGAATTCCTATATGTACATGTGTAATTTAGTATGTAGAAATTTTGTACCTTTTTAGTTACATTTTAACTTTATGTGATAAAACTTTGTCGTACACGAGTTTTTTAATTTTCTTCTAATCGACATCGGTATACAGAAGGAAACGAGGGAAAGAAGAGATTTATATATTTACTGTAACTTTTTAATTTTTTGTATTACATATCGTTGCGATTAACTGAACATTTTCTTAAATTCCATTTGAAACTAATCAAGCAGTTTTGTTATCAAGCATTCTTTGCTTCGTAAGATTAAGTTGTCCTTTCTCAATCGTTTAATTACTTTAATTCGAAGATTTTTGACACTTATCAAAGCTTTTGCTAAAGAAAAATAAATTATAAGCTAAATAAAGACATCCTATGATTCTAAAATAATGCGTAGAATAAGTTACTTCATAGAAAACTTCTCGAAAATAAATATGTGTACAATAATAAACGTGACTATACATATATTAACGAGATAAAGGAATCAGGAAGTGGTAAGTTCAATAAGGTAATAAAATGACACCATTATAATTAAAAAAAAAATTCTTATATTTGACAAATAATCGCAGTCTTACATCAGTTTTACAATTATTAATTTTCTATATTCCAGACAAAAACAAAAATTTTATACTTCTTTTCACTTAACACTAATTATAGGACCTTTATTCGAGTACACCTAATAATAAATACATCCTAGCTCATCTATTCTATCTTATTGTGAAAGTTCATGATAGAATTTCAGTAGTAATTCTTCTGTCAGCCCAGCACAGAAATCGATGAAACTAAATTTCAATAAAAAATAAAAAATGGAGCACTTATGAAATTAGAAGTAATGTTTCCTAATTTATGAGATAGTAGTTAATTTAGGAATAGTAAATATTATTGGTTCAATTGACAGTCCTTTAAAAATAATTAATTAAATGAATAATCTTTAAATAAATGCATTATACGGACTTAGAAACCCCCTCGTATATAAGTAATCGTAACTTTAATCATATTACAGGGACTAACTTGCAAAATAGACTGATATCAAGTTCGTACGTCTCTAACGGTCGATAGATCTATCGCACGTCCGTAGGATTATACACAGGAACATAATATTGATTTAACGAACAATATGAATAGTTAATACTTCGAAGAAGCACCACCTGGAAGTCATCCTTGCTGATGGCGGGCGATGGATTCACGCAACGCCTGATCGCCAGCTTTGACATGTCCCTGAGCTCGTTTAGTTCGTCACACTGTTGCGGTATCAGTCTCGGACTGACACTCTCAGCCGACACCGGCAGCCGTTTCGGTGAACGTTAAGAATACTACAATGAACGTAAAATATAAGAACGTTTTTACAGAAACACACACTGTATAATGTATACACGTTACATACGATTAAGGCTTTTTTTTTTATACGTTCGCGCGGCTCTACTTTTTACTTCTTCTTCTCCTGAGCCTTCTCCTGCGCCTTTTCTTGCGCTTTCTCCTGGATCGCCGGCTTGCCGGTGTGCTGGATCTTGATCGCCCGCTCGTTCTGCAGCTTCGGCTGGTCCTTCCTGGGCGCGGTGATGCTCAGCACGCCGTCGGACGACAGGTTCGATGTCACCTGATTGATATCGCACTGTTCCGGTATCATGTACTTGCGGACGAACTGTCGCGAGATCCAGCCGTGCTCGTCCTGCTTCTCCTCGTGCTTGGCCTCGACCACCACGCTCTTGTCCACGACCTTGACGTTGATCTCCTCGGGCTTGAACTGCTGCACGTCCAGGACCACCTGGAACTTGTCCTTGTCCGCCTTGACGGTGGACATGCCGCCGTCCTCCCTGCTGCGCAACAGCTCGCCCCAGGGCCGGTAATAGGCCAAGGGTGACACACGTAGACGCCGGTCGCGTTGCGGCAGCGCGAAACGCTCGACGATGTTCGGATGCGTCAGTTGGTCCGGGTGAATGCCCAGGCCGAAGTTCTGGTCGAAGAGCCGGTGCGGGTACTCCAGGTCCTCCCACCAGTCGGAGAACAACAACGGTACCAGAGACATGCTGACTCCTTCTTCTTTTTCCTCAGGAAAGACTCGAAAGAGATGTGAGAAATATATCTCAAGCGAATTATCGCCGGTAAGATGAGATGACTTGTCGTCAAGCCGGTTCGCTGTCTAGCAACGGATTCGCTTTGAATGGCTTTGATTCGCAGTATTCGCACTGATCACACTCGCGTTGATCGTTTTCTGTCGTCCACGGCGTGCGCCGCGTGTTTTATAGCCGTGGCAACCGGGCGCGACGCGCGCATGCGCGTAGGGCGAGCCGGCTGCGAATGTGCTCGATGTGCCGGCCGGCGAATCTGTCGCGGACTTTCGAGAACGTTCACGAATCGATACGCGCGCGAGCAGGGTAGGGTTCGAAAACAAACTCGAAGTTTCGCGATTGCGCTTGCCGCTCACACATTTCCGGCTCGCAGTTACGTCCTGCTCCCCTTCGGGAATCTTCGTTACCGTATCACGCGGTGACTTGATTGAAAGTGGCAAAATTCTCGCCGGCTTCGAATTTCGACGCCACAAAGAGAGTGAATGACGAGACCGTTAATTCGCGACAATAGACGCCGGTAGTTGAATTCAACGGAAATATACCGGTTTCGATTCTT